GACTCGACAGACAGCTTATCCGACGAGAACAAATACCTTCACCGTGTTTTTACGAAGAACAACTACAACAACGACTTCATCCGACGAAACACTCACCGACCCACTACCACTACCGAAACAAACGACACCGCAACCCCTACGACTACAGCAACCATACCGTACATAAAAGGCATGTCTGAAAACATCTCGCGCATCTTACTACCCTTCAATATCCGCGTCGCCCACAAACCCATCACCACACTACGTCAGTTACTAACCAACGTTAAAGACAAAGACGAACCGAGGAACAGACAGGGAACGATTTATAAGATCAATTGTTCCGACTGCCAAGCCTCCTACATCGGTGAGACTGGCAGAAACCTCACAACAAGACTGACTGAACACAGACGGGCGACGAGGAAAGGTGATGTCAGCAATCACATTGCTGAACACCATCGACTTACCAACCACAACATTGACTGGGACTCTGCGCAATGCCTAACCTACAGCACTGACTATTTTCAACGACTGACTCTGGAAAGCTGGTTTACTAACTTAGAACAGACTCCCCTAAACAGATGTCAACAACTACCCGCTCCATACAAACGACTCATTCACGACATAAACATCACAAACGACCGAAAAAGAACGACCTAACTTTACCGACAGATCGAAACAGACCAATCACGACCGACTTACGTCACTTGAGTCTTACAGCCAATAACATCACGGCAAAACCAACCGATCATTTTACACGAACTGGAATAAGAACATTCTACTGACAACAATCATTCACTTGACTCTGATGATGACTTCCGCACAGGTTGTCGAAACGTCAGTCACTACCACCGACAAAAGTCCTTCTCAGGACTACACTCACCCGGACGATCAGACTACACCTTCACATGTTACCCCCGGGTTCAAGCCATTTACTGCACAATGAATATATAATTTGGAATTCTTTTGTGTTTCTTTCTTGGAAAACAAACTATAAGAAAGGAAGAATAATTTTCAGAAACAAGCATAATATTCTTTTTTTACTAGCACAAAATAAAAGGGCCTACTGACTGACGACTATGACGTAAGCACGAAAAGGCGCCATAGCAAAAATGTTGAAAAGTAATTATACTAGATCTTAGGGTAATTTTTTATGTAACTCCGACAGTTTAATACCCAGATTACCCTTCCCATTTCAACCGTGATGCCGGAGAGCTACGCCTCTTTTGTTTAAGCGAATAGTTGCATCTTCAGCTGGCATTTTATTCTTTTCTCCACTTACTTGCGGGTTATGAACTAATCTCCTTTGCAGCTGTTGTTCGGTCTCCTCCCGCAACGGCTGTGAAGGAGACTGGTCATGAACTGTTTTCAGTGATAGTTTTAAAAATTTTGCCTGCCGAGATAAGGATTGTTCCTTCAGGTAGAAGAGATGTTCTGCGGGGGAAATGTATCGCTTGTCTGAGTGCTGATCAAACACACCCTTCACCTGAGTTTCATCGTAATGTAACGTCATCGTTGAAATTTGTAAGAACATTTCTTTTTTTCAGGGCAATTAAAATGTTTCCACATATTTCAGACTTCTGTTACAGAACGGTTCTGACTGGTTCTAACTTGATGACGGTGTGACGGCTGCGTGACCGAATCACACTAAGTGTCATCTACATCCGAAGTGAATACTTCGTGACTCAAACGATTATACCCCACTATAGAAAACACGTCACTTTCTAAAATAGCCGTCGAATAAAACTATTACAAACCACTTCCAACTACAAAGCAGTATAAAGTACTTGAAAATCTCCTTTCGAATGCAACACGAATGCAAAAAATTTAGAACTCTCTTCCTATTTCAGTCACTCGTTCGTCAAACCTTATCAGCTCGAAGACGAAATGCAAGAGTTTTCACTTAAATAATAACTAAATTGGCCAAGCCGCGCATTCGCATCACTTTTTCTTTACTTGATTTATTATTGTAAGTGAGGTGGCTCTCCCATGAGCCCAGTGGGTTCCTGGGTCTCTTCCCATCTAGTTGTTAACGCTGTAAATAAATCTTTTTTATTATTAAAACAAAGGAAAATAAAGATGATGATGATGATGATGATGATGATGATGATGACCTGTGTTCAGTACCAGTTGTATACTCCGGTGTTTGAGAGATCGGTCTTGTCAAACAAAGTAATTTGTTTTTAGATTTTGGAAATATTTGCTACGTTTGTAAGCAAATTCTGCCGTTTACATGACAATTGTCTCAGTTATCTGGTATAGGATATCAAACAACTACTCAACAAGGTTGGTGGCTTGCAGCAGATATTTACCGAGATGTGAAGCGGCCGGGTTAATATATCCACCGCTAGCCACCAACTCTAAGGTGAATAGTTGTTTTAGTATATACTAAAGTAATGAGATAATGATCATAACCCAAAAGATGGTTTTAACTCATATGTTCCTGCAGCGATTACATAACCCAAAAACGTATTCGGAGTTCGAGTAGCCAATATAGTAATAGTAATATAGTTTATATCTGACCACTTGCAGTCCACAGGCTGAATTAAGGGTGCAGTGTAAGGTTGAGAACAGACGTCAGCATATCATATGAGCGGGCCTTCGACGTTATCCACTGTTATAGTAGGTACTAAGTATTAATGTTTTAGGGATGGCCTCTTTTTAGATTTTCTTTCCAAGAAATTAGCTGTATACAGTTACTTTTATAAAGTTGATGTCTTTTAGACTATCTGTCTGAAAAATAGTCCGGAAAAGAATTAAATTGATGATTTTTTAAGGTGTACTAGATACTTAAATTTTGGGAGTTCTCGAAATCGGGGAATTAAGGATTCAATAAGGACTGCCCTGAGTAGAGTAAAAATAAAGCGCGAATCAGTCGAGCACAAATATCACGCCATATTGTAGAGTTGGTTTTTCGTACTGTAAAAAAGAACTGTTCAACCGTTCGGCTGTACTTGCTACACCGTTTCTATCTGCTTCGCTTTTCTCCCCTTATAAGACTGAAATGTATGTAAAATAAAGCATTTGGAAGATAAATAGCTTATTAGACGTTTCGGTGTGAAGTATTGCTGATTACTTTTATTCGTTGTTTGCACAACTCGATATCCCATGTTGAACCGTGTAGATATAATGTCTGAGTCTATCTACATCCTTGGCAACGTGACACAAGTTAAACGCATGAATTTAATCAAAGGCACTGAAGCAGAACGTTTGGGTGTCTAGAATGACTTCTAGCGAATCAAGGACATCCTTTTTCAGCAATCGTTGTAAACTAAAAAATGCGGATTATAATTATACGACAGCCTCTTCCCCGACAGAAAGCAACATTAAATATGAAGCATATTCGTAGAAGGAAACAAGTTAATTTAGACGAAAGGCGTCTTGAAAGTGTCGATTTCCGTGTAGTGCTGAATACGAAGTATTCGATAACTGCTGCGACGCGTACGACTGATTACTTTGTTCGCTAGTTCTGGCTTATCTCGAGAGAAGCTCAGTCTATTTAAATAAGTTTTTTCTTTTTTCTGGATTAACCATAGTTAAGGACTGATCTATTTTGTACCTACTACGTTTGCGAATTTAACACTTACAAGGTTAACACAATCTTATAAGTTTTATCAGACAGAGACTTACCTGAGTAATGAATTACACAAAAACAAATCAGGAAATGTGAAACGATATGTAGTCTCATCCCAGCTAAGACAATACTCCAGCTGCCTGAAAAAATTGGGAATTTCAGTATCTATATTGTTAATCCCTTTGCCAAAATGTTTATTTCCTCCTTCGTGACAAAGCACAGTTTACGTGACTATAGTTACCCACAATTACCTTAGAACTCACTCTTGATGACTCTTCCTTTGTTGTATGGTCAGCGCTCGTTCTCATTATTCTACTGATTTGATTCCATCAATCTTGAATGTTGTCCTTCAGATTCCCTCTAGGGTACTCGTAAGAACACAATAAAGATTCACCATACATCTCCAGAAGGAAAACTTTGAATTTAACAGGTGAGTGATAAGAGAAAGTATCATCACATATTCGCGATATGCACCCCCGTTGTGACAGCAGATCCTGCGAACTAACATTACTCAATTACCTTCAAGGCGACAAACAATGACTAGAATTACAAAGTGATGTAGGGCTACTGGCGTCTAATCCGTGACAGAGAGTTTTATCTTATTCCAAAATGCTAATTATTGCATATATGTATTTGAGTTTTGCATCAAAACTTCTATTGTTGAAAAGTCATTTACATCAAATAATGTGACCTTTGACAAATCTTGGTCAGTCTCGTGTGACTTCGACATTAACGTAATTCTCTGAAGTAGGTTACACCCTTATCATAGTACAAGAGGAGAGGATAGAGCGTAACACTAGGGTTCTCGTTGTGCTTGGATATTTTGCAAATAGTTATTGGCTAACCTGTTACTTAATTGAGCTGTGCATAATATATAACGTTGAGATGAAAAGTTATGGTTTACGGTTTTACGAGAACTGGACCTTTCACATCCTTTAGACAAGAACACAAGTCACTTTCTTCTCTTAAATAAATGGACTTATTATCCAACTACACTTCGTAGAGTACAAAAACCGCCATAGACGAGTACAAATATCACGCGGTATTTGTAGTCTAGAGTACTGGTTAAACAGGTTTTCTCGCATCGCGCAAGCGAAGAGTTGAATTGTAGTTACGCAAAAAAAATTGGCGGACAATTTTAATCGTATTTCCGACGACGAAGAGTCAGAATGGCTGACAAATATACATCCAAGTTTATTGGATGAATCGAACGAAGAAAAACAGCTAGACGACCTGGAAAATTTCTCTGAGGAAATAGGAACAGCAACACGACAACGCGCCTAGAATTACCCTTGGCCTCATTTTCAAAACGAGTCCTGGTGCTGATCCTTTCGTATGATAATAAGTTTTTATTCATGCAAATTTAACTCATTTTCACAAGAATGGTTGAGCACCAGGCCTCCTTATGAAAAAGAGGCCAAGGGTAATTCGGAAATGGGTTATTCAGTTCCGCTTCGCATACTTTTGTCACGCACTCCCCGTAAATAAATATCCGCGAAATTCGCCCGCACTGAAATAACAGTTTGGCGTGTAGGATAATAAATAACTCATAAGACGTTTTGTTGAGTAGTATAGCAGAGTATTTTTATTTGTATTTTGACGAGCCCGTAGGGCTCGTCAAAATACGGCACAACTCGTAAAAATACTCAGCGATACTACACAACAAAATGTCTAATAAGATATATTTATTACTTACCTCCTTCCAAAACCATTTTCGCTGTACCACTCACTTTAGATCTTAGAATTGGGATGCAATTAGTACTGCATACATATTATATTTCCTAAATTTTGCATTTCGTGAATGAAAAAATGCTAGAATATAGGTCACTTCTCTAATCGCGCAAAATGTCTATTATTTGCGAGACATTTACTTGCAGTAGAGAAGAAGAATCATCGATCTGTAATAATAGCGGCGAGGCTTACACTAACAGCTTTTTATTGGTCGAGATTTTGCTACTTAGAAAACGTTTCAAGCGTCTAACCCTGAGAAAACTTCAATCTACGAAAGGTATATCCATGGTATTTTCCGTGTACGGAGCACGTGATTAAATGCAAGATCCAAAGTTTTATTGTTTACGCTGAATACTTCCACGCAAAGTGCGTAAGAAATGGCAATTGCTTTGTTTAGCCAAACGGAACACCATTTTGAATCCTGCATCGGTTGTTCTTAGATCGCACTAGTTCGCTTTTTCATTGGAATGAAGTCATTCCTGGAATACAAATAGCGCAGATTGTTTGGTTGGGATAGTGTTCGCTGTGAAGAGAAGTGTTCTCTGAATCAGCTGCAACACTAAGATCCGCTCGGAAACTCTCAGCGAATATGAGAGGTTTTCTACAAACATTCATTTGTTATTCAAGTGTGGACTGAAAACAATGATGTCGAACTCGAAATGCACCATTTTCGAAAGGGACTGAGATCATCGAAATAAAAATGTGTCCGTGAGCACTTGGTTAGGGATAGGACCTCTCACATTTTGAGACGTCTTCAAAATTCTCAGCGATGCCGCACTCTATGTTTAGCATCTTAGATCACGCTTTCATAACACTCCAACTTAAAATCAAAGAATCCATTCATATTCAGTGTTAGAAGAGGGTCTGAATGGGGTTTAGCGTTTAGTGTTATTTGCCCATGATTTTTCTTAGTGTTTACTGTTAATCTAGCCATTTTTTAATGTTTGCCGTTCTTGAAAAAAATACTGTTTAGTGTTTGAAAGGAGATCCCAAAGTTCTTTTAGTATTTTCAAATTTTCTCTGCTATTTTAAATTCTGCAAGAAAATCAAGAAAATCACTCGCGAACAGTAAGCCAAAGCTGAAATGCTCTTATCTTCATTCTGGGGAGTACTGGGATGAATCAGTGTTTAGGAATGTAAATGTCTATGTTATAAACACAGTCGCTGAAGTAAGGCAGCACTATAACATGAAAAAAAAGTATGCAACAAATGGCCCTGAAGGAACTATTTCCAGCAAAACACAGGAGTCAATAGGGACTTTAAGATAGTACACTACGGTTGGTTGGGACGGTTGGAAGCGTACACGGGCGGCCTGGGACCAGGAAAGTGAAAAGGTGCGAAAAATTTCACTTTAAGTTCGGGCAACAAGACTAAGGACGGTGAAGCTAAGATGCGAGACTCACTTGTTATTTCTTTCGCAGAAGGCGCAATTAGTGAGCAAGAGTTTTTATTTTTATACTAAGAATACAAATCAGTGAATCCTTTTTATCCGTATTAGGAATCTGAACCCTTTTGTTTAGAATTTGCTTTTATCTATGGATAACGTCAACTGGCGTTTCCTATTCTGGTGGTGGTGTGTTGAACACATCGACAGTTGATAGTCCCGGGTCGAATCTTAACACTTACGAAATTGGTCGCTTCTGGACTGTTTCGAGATCACTTACGACTGAAAATGTGAACAATAGATATGACATAAACTCGATTCAATCCTCTGGAAGAGATATGAAAAAGTTCTATCTCAGCGAGATCATCTATAGTTTCGCCAACACCAAACGAGGCACAAGCAAGAACGAATCTTTTGCTCGCACGCTCTACCTGTACTCGTCTCTCTGCGCACCCGTCCTCATGGGAGATCAGACGACTGACCTGATGGGGCAGATTTGTTATCACCCCATCTTAAAAGGCAGGGGTAGATCACGGAATCCGTATCGTAGTAGAAGACACGGTCGCCCAGTTGTTCTAAAGACAGGTAAAGTTTCAATCGGGCCTAACAGATCGTGAAGGCGGCAATGAAGGTGTTGGTCTTTGTATTCTTGTCTGTATCTTCAGAGATTCTCTTGTAGGATACTTCGAAGAGATCGGTATTCAAGATGCGTAAGGCAGAGATGACGAGCGGATTATTGAGGAGCGCAAAGAACTCGTGAGCTTGCGTGAGTTGAGTGACTTTACATTTGTTCATGCGTTCCTCAAACTTTCCCCAGAACGAATTAAACATGAGCTTCGCCGTCATCTTACGTCCAGGATTCTTAGCAATGAGCGTAGGGTCGAGCGCAATCCCTTCGCGTTCTTGGTACTTGTCCACGTACTCGGATCTCTTATGAAGCATTTTTAGTTGATCCTCCTCATCCCGAGTCCGTGCTGGAAACCTACCACTTTTCTGCTTGATTTTCAATCAGGTGTTGACATAAGAGGTAAACAGGCCCGTGACCCTCTGATCCTCGGGAAAATGATAAACTTCGTGAATGCGTAAGACGCGATATCCCACATCAAGGGCTTTCAAGATCTCTGGAGTACACCACGTACCACGCAACTCGCGTTGCATCTCCGTGTGAGATCAGCCCATGTTTCTCTCCAACATGGGTTTCACACCCCCTTCCTCCACACAGGTCCGACAAAGAAGAAACGTGATCCACGGGTTCAAAGAGAATGGTAGGATGTCCGACTGGGTACATTCCATACTTGTTCATCCAAAGGTATTCGGACGTGACGTCCACGTCACGTATTTCTTCCCCTTGGGTTCGGCCGCTTTGTAACAAAGCGAAGCAGCACCAGTACGTCTCCAAAAAAATGCATCCCGAGGATTGAGAGGTAGTACCATGCGAAGAGAAGAAAGAAACACTTGAATCTCGGGTGAGGCACTCACCTTTGATTTCCACTCACATTAATCCCACATTTCAACAACGGTATATCCCATAGTTCTTAGAGACTTGGTCTTTTGCAGGGTGGCCTGATACAAGGCTTCCATGGTATGGTCGGGGGGAGGCAAAGTAGTATCGGGTTCGGTCGGGAAAGCATTGACAACACCCATGATACAGACACCCCTGGAATTCTTAGACGGTGCGGGTGGTACGATCCAAACCATCTACGTGATAGGAAAAATGTGTCGCCGAAATTCTCTGTTCTCCCCCATTACGTATGTCTTGAATAAGCGGTGTACAAGAAGAAGTGTGTGACAGTTGGTGTTCGTTCCAATGCATCCATTCTAATGCGACTCTCGAATGATTGATTGGGCACCATTTCATCCACGAGGGGGTTCTACTGTCACACACTTCGAAAATAGATGACATTTTCGCCACTAAAGACTGCAGGCAGAAGTAATCGTGATACATTTTTCAAAAGGGTCAAAACCTGCAATCACTCGAAATTCGGTGACAAATTTCTCACCGCAAGCTTTGAGAAGGGCCACGTCCGATTTCCAGTACGCCACTAAATCTTCTTTGAGATGAAAGACTTCTCCTTCTTGAGACGCGTACCACGTTTCAAATTCCTTTTTCTTTGAAGCAGGCATCTCTTTTTTTTTCAATTTAGAAATACCAAAGGTGGAGGTAAACGCAGACAGAGACATGAGCAAGAAACAAAAAGGATCTTTAAACGTGATACACCCCACACGAAAAGAAAGGACCTTGATACCCACATAGACCACATCTTCCTTACGTCTGTCTTCTTGGAGAAGTTGATGTTGCGAGAAGACGGCATCGTGCCCTTTTAAATTATGAAAGATGCAAATCACTTTACGTTCCTCGCCAAATTCGTTTTAAGGCCAAGTCGGTGAGAAACGCTAATAACTCGGCTGTGCATTCAGAACCGTAAAAACTAGAGAAAGTCTCCGAGAGAGATGTGAGAGCACACACCAGAATGGTAACGAGTGTCTTCTTGGCCGAGAGCATGACTTCAAAGTCGGCGTAGACAAATACGGGTGGTTCCACGTAGGCAGAGGCACTTGGTTGTTCTTTAGATGCTTCATGAGCTGCTTCTTACTCTTTTTCTTTTTCTCACCATCTTTAGGATCGATCTGCTGTATGAAGCATTGATGTTCCAACAAATGCACCTTTTCGCGACAGACGTGACACTTGCCATAATGACATCGATGGGGTTTTTTCAGTTCAGATGTAACTATCTCTTAACAACAGAGTGGACAACGAATGAGAGTCTGACGAATCTGGTGGGTACGATGGAATTCAACACATCTCTAGATCTCGTCGTAGAACATTCTTTTGAAACTACAAGAGAAAATAAAACACGTATATAAGAGATGAACAATCCCTTTTTATTGGCGGTTATTTTTTTTCAAAAATGTTTTACAGATTTTAACAATTTCTATAAGAACTTCTTGTTGACAGGTACCTTCGTAGATGTCATATACACCTTTTGCTGTTCATTACAAGAAAAGACTGCTTTGCACTGTCACATCGACACTGTGACCGCAGCTAAAAGTACGCAATGATACCGCTTTATGCAGAACTATCTGCTAAAATGTTTGAATAATGGTTTTTGAAAGGTAAACTGAAATTCAAAACAAAATTATTTTGGAATAAGTGTTTTTCAATTGAAGTTCGATGTGTGAATATTGATGATAAAAGACGCTCAACTCTTTGTACAAGCGCATAAATGATTGTCTTATTCATACTAATGCTGTCTAAGAATGCTATTGAATTTCAAACAGTGTGATAAAAATGTAAATGAACGCTATATACGCTACATTGTTTGTTTTTGGTCTCTATTGACTTTCAGAATGGTGTAATTGACTTGAAAGTTACCGCGAATGAGAGTGTATGTTTCTCTTTAAATTTTTTTCACAAATGAATGCCCAAAATTGTTATTGAATGTTGATTAAAATGCAAAAATCGTTATTGAATCTGGTTTACACGCAAATGACGGTTTTTTTTTTTTGCTCCAATGATTGTATATTCAAACAATTGTTCGCCTTTTAACGCAAATGAATGCGTATTTTCTCATCAGAGGTATGTGGTCTTCTTTCCATGGTATTCATTTTTTTATTATTATTCTTTATTTCGTACACCTAACACTTTAATTTTTTAGATGCCTCCTCTACGATGCTCAACACGCTTTGCTCGACAAGTTGTGGAAGTCGATGGAACATCTTACGCGTGTTTTCTATACCTGATCATGATTGACTTGTCCATGAGAGGTGCTACGGTCACTCCCTGCTCTCATCGACGCATCCATCGTTCGTGTTTTCGTCGTCTTAGAACCACCTCAGACCAATGTGGACATTGTCGAGCACCCTTTGCTGTTCCTGCTGCTGCTGCCATTCCCAACGAGGACGTGACGAATAGGGAACAACAACGCCAACAAGCCATACGGGATTTGGAAGCCTTGTTGGAACCGGGAGCCATCAAGGAACGGATTACCAATGTAAGAAGTGATTCTAATGCAGATACTTTTATGAATTGTGAAACTTATTAGGATATGTTTAGGTATATTTCAACATGCAATTTTTTTCAGTGGTATTATCCCACTTTTTGTTGTGGAAGGTGTCATTATGACTTCTATTATTTTCTGGTTCGTCATTCCAATGACGATTTTACGATACAGAGATATGACGCATGTGAGTTACTTTGCCCAAAAGTGATTATGTGACTTTTTTCAATTTTTAGCATTGTAGAATATTTCCCCACCATGATGCTGGTTTGGACAAAACGTGGGGTAGGCCAGGGCCAAAGCCATGGTGTAGGCCATGGCCTACCCTATGGCCTACCCTATGGCCTACCGGTGGTCAGATTTTTAAAAACATAAAAATGAAATCAGTAAGAGTCGAACAAATACGCTGGCGTACAATTCTATGTCTCTAAAAAGGGTATATTAAGAGGTCGCTAGCATGATTTTCAACGTTCGAGAGAACGAAACATTTGATGCAGATATTACAGCACTCACCCAAGCGCTCAACCATAACGTTAGGTTTAAGGGGGAGGGGAGAGAAGGGGCCAATATTGCCTGGTCGCAGAGGACTTGTAAAATGGCGGCTTCACAACACAGGCGGTCAGTTGGTAACATATCGTGGAGTGCTAGTGTAAAAATGCAATGAACGGCGTTATATCGGCGAACATATCCAGGTAAGAAAACGCAAAAATTATGTGCCCGGCCAATTTTTTAAGTGCCTCTCAAGTGCTGTGTAGTACTGAATTTGCAACGAGGACCCCGGTACATGTACAGGCACGCATCGCCGTCATAAAGATTTCGCAAACTTTACTTGCTGTTCCAAAGAAAGGACCAGTATTGCACTAGTTTGAAAGGAGAGCTGATATGATGATGTTTTCCCAAAAGTTTTAACCGGCTTCTGTTCCTCGATTTCCTTATTCCATAGTTAATAGAGGGGACTGGTTATGTACCCGGCAAACTTCAAAGGTTGAAACTTGACATCACGTGACCTCTATTAACTATGCTCATTCTATCAAAAGGTTAAGAAATTTTGATCAGAATGTGACTGCCAAAACAGCAGAAGAAAGTCGTTGGTAAGACAGTACTCAGGAAAACGTTGAAAGGTTTCCAGCAATGCTATCCTTTTAAAACTCAGACCACCGGTAGGCCATAGGGTAGGCCACAGGGTCGGCCACAGGGTAGGCCATAGGGTAGGCCACAGGGTAGGCCACAGGTTAGGCCATGGCCTACACCATCTTTTGTCCACACCCCCATGATGCATCACATTTGCCATTTTGAACCTGTCTTCAGTACCAGATTGATTGCAATGTTAGTTTCTTGGTGGATTTCAGAACTGTAGGTCACCTTTTTTGTTCCTTTTGCAAATCAGCTGTAATTGTCAAGATTGCCTCAACCCTTAAACTCTCAAGATTTGATTGTTAATTCTCCCCTCTGGCTGTTGCCCATTTACCTGTGGGCTATTCCACATGAGACATGAAAATTTGACAGATTTTCAAATTCAAAATATGAGAGCCAAACTTACTTTTAATGAAAGCTTATACATAGTTCTATAAGAATCCAAATCTAGATTGGCAGTAGTGGACACGCCCAGGTTGTGTGATGCCATTGTTTTTGAGGGTTTTTATTAACCGAATAAGCCATTTTACATACCAATATCTAAATTGCTATATCTCAAAGAAATTGAT